GGAGTCTTGGGGACTGTTTTGCAGAACACCTACGGTTGGTTCGCACGAAACAACTGCACCTCCCAGTTGCGAACCATTTCAACTCCCCCTCCCATTCCTCAGATGACATGTCCATCCTGGGCCTCCTGCAGTGCCACAACGATGCCACCCGAAGGTTGCAGGAACAGCACCTCATATTCCGCTTGGGAACCCTGCAGCCCAATGGTATCAATGTGGACTTCACAAGCTTCAAAATTCTCCCCCTACTGCATCCCAAACCAGCCCAGCTTGTCCCCACCTCCCTAACCATTCCTCCCACCTCAAGCCTCACCCCCATCTCCTACCTACCAGCCTCATCCTGCCCCCTTGACCTGTCCATCCTCCCTGGACTGACCTATCCCCTCCCTAACTCCCCACCTACATTCACCTTTACTGGCTCCATCCCCACCTCTTTGACCTGTCTGTCTCCTCTCCACCTATCTTCTCCTCTATCCATCTTCTATCCGCCTCCCCCTCTCTCCCTATTTATTTCAGAATCCCCTTCCCCTCCCCCATTTCTGAAGAAGGGTCTAGGCCCGAAACATCAGCCTTCCTGCTCCTCTGATGCTGCTTGGCCTGCTGTGTTCATCCAGCTCTACACCTTTGTTATCTCAGATTCTCCAGCATCTGCAGTTCCTACTATCTCTGAAATAACTTTAAACCTAACTTATCAATCCTAGATTTAATCAAAAATGTTAAGGGATGTAGAGGAAAGACCAGAGTTCAGATTAGTTCACAGATCAGCCATGACCTCATTTAATTGCTGAATGGGGTCAAAGCGCTAAGTGGTCTGCTACAGTTTTTCTTTTCCCAGCAATAGCTAGCAGTTTTTTTTAAGGTAAATGTCTCTTGCGTAGGTCACACCACTGTTTTCCTCATCCATTTGACCTAGAAGAAATCCTAAAAAGGTTGCAGCATTATGGCCTACAAGTAAAAAGGGAGAAATGATAGTGTTTTTTTTTTGAAAGACTCCATAGAGTAACTGGGCCTTCTAATTAATGGTGAGGTAGTACACGATGCACCCAATAAGATGCAGGCTATCATGAAGACTTCTAGACCAGGGAATGTATCTCAACTGAGATCATCCTTGGGGCTTGTAAATTACTATGGTAAACTTGTCTGATTTGGCATCCATGTTAAAACCCCCGCCTCTGTTGTGGGGAAACAGTGGCTGTGGAAATGGACCCCGGAATGTGAGGAGGCTTATTGGGAGGTGAAGCAAAAAGATTGGGGTGGCTGAAGGTAGACTCCCAGATTGAGGAGAAAGTGGGATAATGTGAGTTTTGCACATTTGTAAGAAGGTGCTGCTATTGTCACCCCCTTCACCCATGCCTTAATCATGTGGTAGCAGATTCACGTTGGTTTTTATGGGACCAGTTCAGGGACATGTTACTGTAGTGATCATGGGTGCCCTGAGGTGGCAGTCTTGACGTTGGTATCAGTAGAAGTAACAGTAGGCTGACTAGATGAAATATTTTCCAGGTTCGGGAACCCCAAGCAAATAATGAGTGACAGTGATCTATAGTTTGTGGTGCATGAGTTTGAGGAGTTCCTGGAAAATCAGAGTCGTGCATGTACGATCAGATCCATGTCACCCTGCAACAGACGGCCAGATGGAGAGATTTGCTCAAACCTTTGAGGCAGGCCTTAAAGGTCTCACAAGGGGAGAATTTGCTAGGATGGTGATTGAACACATTCCTCAGCATGTATAGGAACATGTCACACGTGATGACCCAGTGTTTGCTGGCGTCCTTAATGTTCTTTTGGTTCTCAGCTGGCAGTTGAACACTGTTTGAATTACTGCAGCTGGAAGAGACCAGATAGGTGATAGTGAAATCAAGAAGGACAGATGGCCAGAAGGGTGGGGACCTCAAGGTCAAGGGTATTCCAAAAAGGAGAGACCGTGTTGGCCCGGAATTATATGTCCATTAAAGAGCGGGTCCCAGTGCTGGTAGTGTCTCATATATGTTGTCATATATGGTGCAGTCTAGGGATGAACAGGTCTGGAGGAGACACGTGGACCAGCTGGACACATCTCATCAGTGATTGGGGAGAGACCAAGCTGTTCAGGATTGGACCTGTGGTGTTGACCATGTCGTGTGTCTCTGAGCCAGAGTTGGCCATAATCCGGGAGGAGACAACAGTAGTGTCGGAGGGCAACAATAGCCAGAGAGGGACATGTATGCAGAACAACAGGAGCTCCCTGAAGCCCGGGAGCCTACACTAGAAAAGGTTCCTGAGATGAGACGGTCTTCTAGGAATTGCCATCACTGTGATAGACTGATCATGTCAATGTAGCCTATGGAAGGGTCAATTTCTTTTTCCATTATTTTTTGTAAATATTCCTGTTGATGTAGATAATGTTAGCTGCAATGTATGTATAATAATTATGTAATATATACAGTTTAAAGGGCCTATTGAAATAAAGAGGAAGGAGTATTATGTATATAGTTGGGTGTGTGCTGCCTTTTGAGTGGGTCAGGTGACCTGGACGTGGGAGCTAGGGGAAAGAGTCTAAAAATTGATTTTGGAGCTGAGACCTATAATAATGTCTTTCCTGGCCAAATTTATCCTCCATCTACCTTGTATTCTATTTACAGTTCTAATTAACCACAAACATAATACATTTCAAATAGTATTAGGTATGCTATCTTTGCTATGTGTTTAAGTCAATATACCAAAATATAATCTAATAAAACTCATCTGACTTGGTATGCAATGGGAAAGGCTAATACTAGCACATCTGAAATGCTGAGGGAGGAGGAGGGTAGAGAAATCACATATTCCGATTGTGGGAGCATTGTGGTTGGTGATGTGCCAGATGGCTCAAATTTTACTGTACTTGTTTGATTAATCCTGGCTCTTAGCGCGCACACTTTGTTCAGTGCGTTCAACTTTTTATTTCAGCAGGTAACCTTGTAGATATTGCGTAGATGCCAGCTTTTGATTTAAGAGGTCAGCATCTTGGTGAATGTTTAAAGGAATCTCACTTGTAATTCCAAGCATGTTTGCCATTTCTGGGGAGGACATCGAATTTGAGATTCTTCCCTTGAAGAACTCTTTCTGGTAATGGTGCTTGTGCATCTCCTGAATTATTGTTTGGTGACTAGATGTTTAAGGCCAGACTGTCCAGCATATATTATACTTTTACTTGAATTGGCCAGTTAATTTTCTTTTAGTCCACAGCTGTTGTCACTCTACTAAGTTGCTTGACCAACTAAAACTGGATTTAAGTGTTAGAATGCATCCTGTGTATGGTTTCAGAGGGAAGATTTCTAACAAATGATCACTGATATTTGTGACAACAAAAAGTGTTGTCTGATTTGTTGCATTTTTACATTAGGTAATGGTGCTGGAAGCCAGAGACCGGATTGGTGGACGTGTTTGGGATGACCACTCTCTTGGTGTGACTGTGGGAAAAGGAGCACAAATTGTTAACGGCTGCATAAACAACCCTATAGCACTAATGTGTGAGCAAGTGGGTTTCTGTATTATATAGCAATATTATGACAGCATCAATCATTGACTTGTTTGAATAATGATTTCACAGATTGCTTTTTATTTTTGTGTCTTGGTGATTTGTTTTAATTGTACAACTTTTTTCTTTTGTTTTTGGCCTATCATTTTGGTTGCCTGACTTAAGTTAGCAATTTTTCGGTATACATCTACTTGCTGCTTGTAAATGAAACAATATTCATTTAGATTACTCTAACCACTTTCTCTTTAGTCTTTCCAAACAAAAGTAATTTAGTGCTGATTCATGGTCCTTTTTAATAGAAAAAGGAGAGAAATTCGAATTTTATTCTTGGAAGTCCGTAGTGTCATTGGCTCAATTGTCTTCAGTTTGGTGAATGACTTTTCCCCTCTATATTAAGGTCAGTGGTGGGGAAGTTCACTGTGTAATGATCTGCATCTCCTCAGATACTGAAGCAAACTAATATAGCAAGACCCCAACATTCATAGTTGTGTAGATAAGTGGTGAGTAACTTGAGTGCCACACAACTGCCAGGCATCCACCCTTAACAATCAATAGCATTAACATCATTAAATCCTGCAGTATCAACACCTGGGGGTTACCATTGACTAGAAACTGAACTATGCTAACTATATGAATACTGTGGCTAAAAGAGCAGGTTCATGGTTCGAAATTCAGAGATGCATGTTTCGTTTCTAAACTTTCAAAGCCTGACCACCAGCTACAATACGCAAGTCAAGAGTATGATGGAATACCATCCGTTGTACATTACTGTTAAGCAAAATTCACATAATGTGTATGTTGAAAAGGTTGTTGGGGAAAAGATTGTGTTCTCAGGCTGTGCAAATGTATTCCTATGGAGATGTACAGAGGAATGAGTTCAGATATTGATTTGCCGTTCCTCACTGATGTCTACCAACCCCTGAAGGCCACTTAATATTTTGATATATTTTCCTATTCACTCCCATTCCTCCAGCAACAGAGGGGTTACAAAACTATTAAAACTACAGAGACTATAGCTTGCAATCTTGTGGACAGCACTTTAGAATAGTAGCATCCTAAGTTATTGGATCATCACGATCGTGGAATTTTTGTTTTCACAAGTTGCTACTAGCAGAAATCCAAATTTAACTTTGCTATATGAAAAATTTGTATAAGCTTTGAATTATTTTGAAATTGTTTTCTACTGCAGCTTGGAAGTAAGATGCACAAATTGGGGGATAGGTGTGATCTAATTGAAGAAGGTGGAAGGGTCGTTGATCCCACCATAGACAAATGCATTGACTTCCATTTCAATGCCATGTTGGATGTCGTAGCAGAATGGAGAAAAGACAAGAAACAATTCCAAGATGTGCCTCTTGGAGGTGAGTTGTCTTGAATAAACTTTCATGAATATTGTTTAGAGCTCAAGTAATCAGTAGATTCAATCCTTGAAAGGTTCCAACACAAGTAGGGAGTAAAAGTCATGACACCATGCTAAGTATTCCATTAGTTTAGAATTCACAAAAGATCTAATATCTAAATAAGCTATTTTACAATACTTTTAAGGCTAAAGGAATAATTAAAGAAAGAGTAATGCCCATTAAGGGCCACAGTGGTAATTTGTGCAAGGAGCTGGAGGATGTAGTTTACATTTCTGAATGAATACTAAAATGTTAACATGCAAGAACTGCGTATGCTGGAAATCTGAAACAAAGACAGAAATTGCTGGAGAAACTTAGCGGGTCTGGCTGCATTCATGGAGAGAAAGGAACATCATCATCTTCCATAGCCTTTACCACTACCACTAACCACAAACCCCAACGCCCAAACCACCACCACCACCACCACCATGGTCTTTCGCATATCTCCCACCTTTTCCTACTAACTACTAGTTCTGAAGAAGGGTCACTGGACCTGAAGCGTTAACTCTGCTGTCTTCCCACAGATGCAGCAGACTTCTGAGTTTCTCCAGTTTGTTTTTCTTCTAAAAGTATGCTTTGTGTTGGTGTTCACAAGTGAGGAGGATGATGTGGATATAGAAGTAAGGGAGAAGGACTGTGATATTTTAAAGATATTAAAATAGACAGCAAGGAGGTTCTGAGTAGTCCGGTGGGCTTGCAAGTAAACAAATATTTAAGTCAATAAATTTCTAGGGCCGAATGAGTGAGGCAAGGCAGAAAGCAAGGAATTGGCAATTGACGTACTCCACTTGGACTTCAGCAAGGCTTTTGATAAGGTCCTGACTAATTGTGAAGGTAGGAGCCCATGGGATCCAAGGAAATTTGGGTAATTGGACCCAGAATTAGCTCACTGGCAGGAAGCAGAGGGTGATGATCAAGGAATGTCTTTGTGACAGGAATGTCTTTGTGACAGGAATCAAAGTTGAGCCCTTGCTGTTTGTGTTATATGTAGGTGATATAGACTTAAATGTAGGAGAGGCAATGATTATGTTAGCGGTTGATGCAAAAATTGGTGACGTGGTAAATAGTGAGGAGGATACTATTGGATTACAGGAGAATATAATCGGGCTGATAACTGGGAACTGGAATTCAATCTAGATAAGTGTGAGGTAATCTATTGGGCAGGAAAAGTAGGCAAGGGCGTATAGATGAATGGTAGGACCTTGGAAAGCACAGAGTAAGAGAAACCTTGGTGTGCATTATCACTTGTCCTTTGAGGTAGCAGGATGGATAGACAGTGGTTAAGAAGACCTGAGAGACTTGCTTATTAGCTGAGACATAGAATTTAAGAGCAGTGAGGTAATGCTAGATCTGAATAGAAGTGGTTAGACTACAGCTAGTGAACTATGCGCAATTCTGGAATATAGAAGGGATGTGATAGCACTGGAGAGGGTGCAGAGGAGATTCAACAGGATGTTGTCTGTGCTGGCGAGTTTGTTATGAAGAGAGATTCAGTAGACTAGGATAACAAAGTCCCGACCCGAAGCATCAGCTTTCCTGTTCCTCAGATGCTGCCTGTCCTGCTGTGTTCCTCCAGCTCCACACTTTGTTATCTATGACTCCAGCATCTGCAGTTCTTGCTATCTCATTCGATAGACTGGGATTGTTTTTCATAGAGCAGAGAAGATTGACATGACTGAGATGTGTAAAATTGAGGGCCATAGACAGGAAGAAACCTTTCCCTTCGGAGGGATCAATGATCAGGGGCCATGGATCATAGAATCACAGAATCCCTACTGTGTGGAAACGGGCGCTTTTGGCCCAACAAGTCCGCACTGAATCTCAGAGCATCCCATCCAGACCCATCCCCCTATAACCCACCTAATCTACACCTCCCTGAACGCTACAGGCAGTTTAGCATGGCCAATCCACCCAACCTGCACATCTTTGGACTGTGGGAGGAAACCGGAGCACCCGGAGGAAACCCACGCAGACACTGGGAGAATGTGCAAACTCCAGACAGTCGCCCGAGGCTGGAATCGAACCCGGGTCCCTGGCGCTGTGAGGCAGCAGTGCTAACCACTGCCACCGTGCCGCCCCTATGTTAGGATGTTAGGTAAGGGCAGAAGATTTAGAGATGTGTGGAAACTGTTTTTCACCCAGAGGGTGGTGGGAATCTTGAACTCACTGCCTGAAAAAAAAAAGGTAGGGGCAGAAGCCCTCAAAACATTGAGGAAGTATTTAGATGTGCACTTACAATGTCAAGGCAAGGCTCTGGCCAAATGCTGGACATGCTGGGATTGGAATAGTTAAGTGCTTGTTTTTGACTGGCCCATTGAGTCTGCACCAATGTGTCCGAGTCGTATGTTGACCTGTTGATCTCTATGACTGACTGTATTGCTACCAGGATTTGTACAAACACTTGCAAGTTTGGAATATTCAGATGTTCTGTTGGATAAAAGATGAAAAAATAGACGGCTCCACAGAAAATCAAAGCTGCATATCAAATGCTGGAGTGACCTTATAGAGGTCTGTTAAATCATGAGGGGCATGGATAGGATGAATAGCCAAGGTCTTTTCCCATGGTAGGGGAGTCCAAAACTAGACGGCACAGGTTTAAGGTGAGAGAGGAAAGATTTAAAAGAGACCTAAGGGGCAACTTCTTCACGCAGAGGGTGATGCATATATGGAATGAGCTGCCAGAAGAAGTTATAGAGCTGGTATAATAACAACATTTAAGAGGCATCTGGATGGATACATGAACAGGAAGGGTTTAGAGTAATATGAAGCATTTGTTGGCAAATGGGACTAGATTAATTTTAGGATATCTAGTTGGTATGGACGAGTTGGACCGAAGGGTCTGTTTCCATGTTGTACAGATCTGTGACTCAATGACTCTATAACTAAATACAGGACACTTTGTTTTTCTTGTGGCTGTGCTGTTAAAATGATAAATTTAGCTTAGCCATCTGAAGCTAGTGCTTGTGTCCTGACCCTTAATGTTGTACAATTCATCCAAAAATATGATTTTTCTCCATACTGTGGAATGCTTAACCTTTCTTCTCCGTACCTCATCATCCCAACCATGTCCAAAAACTTTCCAGGTATATCTGTTGTGTTACATCCTGTTCCAAGCTCTAAAGGAGACAACACAAATATGGATTAACAGTATTGGTGAACTTTAACAAGGCATAATTTGGATGGCTACTGTTGCACATGCATAAAATATTTATACATTCTTCCCTTTAGCCCCCATCTCCATCCATATTACAAAATGTTGTCTTACAACATCTATCTGGGAAGCCTAGAAATATGAGATAACGTTCAGATATGAAAAGGTTATACTAGCTTCCATAAAAGTAAAGTGTGCTTCTCGATATGTTGCTGTTTTGTACTTGCACAAAGCTTGAGAAAAGCAAGTATGTATGGGGTAAGAATTTTTAAAGATTAAAAAACTACCGTAAGTCTTGCCATGAGACCATAGAAATAGGAACAGGAGTAGTCTGCTTGGCCCCTCGAGCCTGCTCCATCATTCGGTAGAATCACAGCTGATCTGACATTTCTCACATCCACTTTCCTGATCTTTCCCTGTAATCCTTGATTCCCCTGCTGGTCAAGAATCTATCTCTGTCAGACTTAAACATACGCAACAACTCTGCGCCCATCACTCTCTGTGGCCAGGAGGTCCGAAGACACTGAACCATCCGAGAGAATGAATTCCGCCTCATCTCAGTCTTAAATTGGCACCCCTTTATTCTGAGACTATGCTTTCTGGTCGTAGACTCTCCCATGAGGGGAGAAATCCTCTCAACATTTACCTTGTTACCCTTTAAATCCTATATGTTTCAGTGACAACCTCTCTCCTAAACTCCAGTGAGTAGAGTCCCAAACTGTTTGGCCTTTGCTCATAAAACAATCCTTGTATACCAGCGATCATCCCAGTGAACCTTCTTTGAACTGCCTCCATCCTGTTATTGTTGAATAACAACACTTTGAATGTTGTTACTCATTTGAATGCTTGCTCCCTGCCATCCCCACTCTCCCAGCTAGCCCACTCGCTGCCTTATCCCTTCGCTCACTTGTTCTCTCTGGTACTGAACAGCACTCCATGTATGGCGCTGATGTATTTTTGTAGGACGAATACCAATTTTCGTTCTTTGCCATGGATTAATCATTAGTGAATATTGGTTGATCTTGAATGAGTGAGAGATGGTTGACTGTGTTATTCCAATTTGATACTCCAAAAAACAAACAAAATGCAGCAGATGCTGGAGATAATAAATTATAACAAATTCTGTAAGTACACAGTTCAGAGAACATCTGTGGATAGAGAAACTAACTTCATGTTTGAAGTTTAGTATGCCTTCTCAGAACTATCAGGTCAAGTCCTGTTCATTGATACTTGCATTTGCTCAGCAGGAGGCCGAAGACTGAAAGATCAGCAGATAGACAAACTGGAGACTTTGAAATGGCAGGTGACTGGAAGCTTGGGGTCATATTTGCAGATTAATCAGAAGCACTTAGCCAAGTAGTTGAACAAACTGGTCTCCCTAGTTTAGAGTAGACTGCATTGTGAGCAGCAAAAATGGATATATTAACTTGAAATAACTATACATAAGTCACTGTTTTGTCTGAAAGGAATGTTTGGATGAAGAGAGATGAGGTGAAATAACGGGTGTTGTTTCTCTTGCATTTGTGTGGAAAGGTGGCTTGGAAGGCAGGAGTGATTGAGAAGTAGACTGGAGTGTAACCGAGTGAACTTTTCCTTCTGATTGGAAGGAGAGGGGAAGGTATGTTTGTGTGGGGAAATAACAAGATGATTTGTTGAATAAAAGGCTTGAAGAAAGCAAAAATCAACATGCCAAGTTTTTGTTCTGTGTGCAGAAAAGATTGAGGAGATCTACCAAACTTTTATTCAAGAATCTGGAGTCCAGTTCAGTGAACTAGAAGCCAAAGTGCTGCAGTTTCATCTTGGTAATCTTGAATATGCTTGTGGTAGCAACCTACAGCAGGTAAAAAAAAAAGTTAATGAATCATCTGAATACTATAGAAAATTGTGATCAATGATGTGTAACATTTGCAGTTATTACTAAAAATCAGTAATTATGATTTGTATTTTCAGTGGCTAATAGTTTGTATTTTGTGGGTCTTCAGGTATAGAATTAGAAAGGGGTGCTTGGACCTGAGAACTCCAAACTTTTCTGGAAGAAAATCCTCAACAGCATGTCATTTTGTTTTTTCAGGAAAGCTCAAATTCAGTAGTAATAAGGGACTAACTGGTGTAGGTTTTATCACCATTATAAAAATGAGGTTATGAGGTGATCCAAGAGTTGAAATGTTCAAGGCTACACAGTATTTTGGAAAGCTGGACCTTGGCAAAAGAAGAGGTACCCCTGACAGGAAATGATAACATAACATTAGGGAGAGAGGAACTGGGCTCAGAAGTTCATGCATTCAGTCAATATGGGTTGCAATTAGCAATGGCAAGAAGCAGACAACACAGGTGGGAGTAGTTTATACATTTTCTAAAAGTAGTTATAGCATGATACAAAATATTAAACAAATTATTTGAGCTTAAAGCAAAAGCAATCAAAAAATTGTGGGGTTTTAGTTTTTGTATAAACTAAGAAAATAAAATGGCAAGGGTAGTTTAGATAATGAGCTTATAGAATGTTTTTCAGAATAGTTTCTGGAAGCAAACTATTGTAGAACTGTAGTAAAACCCATTTTGGATTTGGGATTCTGTAATGAGGCAGGTTCATTAGCAACAAAAACTGTGTTGGAGAAAAACCATTCTGGCTAATTCTGCAGAGAAAACAGTTCAATTTTCGAGTCCAGTGGGACTTTTCTTTGGAACTGAGAATTGGAAGTGCTTTGGGAGCATTGAAGGGTTTCCAAAAATTGATTAAACGGGGTAAATAAATGAGTAAATTATTCAAAAAAATGAAACAAATTGGCTTTTGCAAGTATACAAAAGGAAGAGTCCTAACATAAATTTTGATTTCTTAAAAGCAGGAACAAGAGAAATTATCATGGGGAAGTGGCATGGATATTCAATCTTTTGTCTTTACAATGGAAGAAACAGCTAGGGCTCAAAACAGTGAATAAGTTAAGATAATTATTACTAAAGAGCAAGTATAGGCACAAGTGGACCCTTTTCAGACTGTGTAGTGGAGTGCTATAAGGATCGTGCTTTGGGCCTTGGCTATTTACAATCTATGCGAATAACTTGGATGAAGAGTTAGTAATGTATCTAAGTTTGCTGATGATTCAAAGCAGATCAAAAATGTAGGTTGAGGAGGATACAGGCTGCAGGTAAGTTGAGTTGACAACAAGATGGTAGTTGGAGTACAGTATAATTGGTAACTGAAGTTATTCACTTTGATCATAAAAACAAAGAATTTTTCTTGAAAGGTGTGACACTTCTAAATGTTAATGCTTGAACAATTTAGTGTGCCTGTATAAAGAACACGCAAATTAAGTCTACAGGTACAGAAAGCAATTGAAGTAAATGGCATGTTGGCTTTTATTGCAAAGGGTTTGGAATAGAGGAGTGAAGAAGTTTTGCCATAATTGTATAGGGCTTTGGTGGGCCATATCTGGAATACTGATTGCAGTTTGGTCTCCATAATTAAGTAAGGATATACTTTTATTGGTGGCAGTACAGGGAAGATTCTCTAAATTGGTCCCTGGGATGTGAGGATTGTCCTATGGTGAGTGGCTGAGTAAATTGGGCCTATATTCTCTGGAGGGTGAGGCAATTTCATTGCAACATGCAAGACTCTGAACGGGCTTGATGGAGTCGATGCTGAGAGAAAGGTTCCCTGAGACAAAAACATGGACACAGTCTAGAAATAAGCAATTTTAAATCAAAATGAGATGCAGAAAGGTGGTTGCAAAAGGCCAACTTAAGTAATGTAATCTTTCAGCACAGAGGGAAATTGCAGAGACAGCCAACCAGGTGATCTTAATGTTGGTGACAAAGGAATCCATGAGTTCCTTGCACATTTCATGTTAGAAGGGAGTGTGGAAAATCTGGGAAATGGTTTTAAAAAAATGACTTGGAGTTGAGAAAAGAAGCTTTGATTCCAGGATGATGATTCTAGAAGAGTTAACCATTTTTGCAGATGGAAGATGAAAGATCTGCTAGTATGCCATGACCCTGTCATGATTGGTAAATTGCTAGACTGGTTAGTCACCATATTCCTTTCAGGCTGTGTTTCTTGGATTTGGCGTAAAGGCTGTTCTCGGGTAGTAGCCAGGTAAGAGAAAGTAATGGTTTTAATGGTGATTAGTGTGTTGAACGTGGAGGTGAGCATATGGTTGAGTATTTAATAAGTCTAGAAACTGCAAGGTGAATGGAGGTCCAAAGCGTACACGTTTGGGAGAGAGGTGAAGGTGAAATAGTCAAAGGAGGAGAAGATGGTAGAAAAATAAGGGGACAGACTGTTGTGAAATTTAACTAAAGGAATCACACTGCCACTGCGACAGACTTGACGAGGCAAGTGGTGAAGTGCATATCCAGGGGTAAGATGTGATTACCCTTCAGTTCTGTTTCCACCAATGTTATGCTCATGAAGTTTTCTATAATAAGCTCATGGACTATAAGGGGTTTTTTCACTAATGAAGAGACATTCTGGTACAGTGTGAATTTATTTTTGTTTCCCCTGTAGTTGTTTTGTCGATCATTTTAAATCTATGATCTTGAGTTGCTGACCCCCTTGGGAAAGAAAACAATTTCTCATTTTTCCTACCCAAAACTGCAAACTGTTATTTTTGAAGCTGAACTCCGGGTCGTTTTTCTGCAAAAATATAAAGCAACAGCCTGTGAGCTGATCCAAGCACTGATCTCTAGGGTGGTAGTTGTACATGTGAGGGGCACTATACTATTCTCCAAATATTATTATTATCCAACATCTTATCAGGTATTGATAAACTACTACTACTAGTGCTGGCTGTCCACTATCCTTCTGAAAGTGAAAATTAATTTAATTCTTGATAATGATCTCTAGTAATTTCCTCTTTACTGACTGGCCTGAGGTTACCAAGTTTATCTTCCCCATTCCTTTAAAAGGCGTGTAACATTTGCAATCCCCCAATTCTCTAGCACCACTCCCAAATCCAAAAGAAGATTGAAAGATTGTGACCACAGTTTCTGCTGGCTCCATTATTACTTCCCTTTGCAATCTCTAATGTATTGCACCTGTGGCAGGTGACTTGATAATGTTGAGTGGTAATTTGATTATCAGCAGCTTTTTATATCTTTGGTCTGTGCCATAACCTCTAACCATTCCTCTATTCTAACAGTAATTTATCTTATTTTGTGAAAACCAATGCAAAACACTCATTCAGTGCTGCAGTCATGTCCTCTACCTGAAATTTCCTTCTTTATCTAGCCCTTAGTTTTACCCACATGCAAAAAGTATGTGAATTCATCCAGTGTTTTCTCTTATATGATGAAAATGAAGAGCTGCAGATGCTGGAACTCTGAAACATAAACAGTAAGTGGTGAAGAAACTCGGGTCTGGCAGCATCTGCAGAAAGAGGAGCAGTTAGCATTTTGAATCCAGTGACTGTTCATCAGAACATTAGTCTTTTCTCAACTTCATTGTAAATATTTTTCTCACATTGATAGTTCTCTATTCTCGATTAAAATGTCTGTCTGATTTTCTACTGGATTCTGCACCTTTTCTTGGTTTAACTTTAAATATTTCTTTTTGTCACCCTGAGAGCTTTGGAGTATGCTGGTTTGTAATTTAACTATGCTAGCCTTGAAGGTCTACCTTTTATTCATTGAATATTTTACTTGGCCATTTTTGTTTGCAGCGCAGCTGTATCATATTTTCTGAATTCAGTGATTTTTCTGTCTTCAAGTTCTTTATTTTCAACGGTAATTAACTTTTTATATGTTCTTCTGTCAGTGTTTTATACCTTTTCTCAATGGTTACTATAAGACTGATGTTCTTCGTTTGAAACACAGTCCACTAACTTAATTTCCCTGGTATGCTTCTGTAAGGTTATCCAACTGGGGGGAAAGAATTCAAAGATAAAAGCACATTTCTTTTTCTGTCTGTAACGAACACTATTTTTGTTGCAGGTGTCTGCTCGTTCCTGGGACCACAATGAGTTTTTTGCCCAGTTTGCAGGTGATCATACACTCTTCACATCAGGTTACTCTGCCATCATCAATAAACTTGGCGATGGTCTGGACATACGACTTAGTACTCCAGTAAGTTTTTGATTATTTTTTTTAAAATGGTAGTTCCATTTGTAAAACAAAAATTGAGCGCCAAAAATTTGTACAGTTTATCATGCTGACGGAGCTAATAACTGGATACATTTCAAGCAATGGTTAAGCTGTCATGTTTGCTATATAGTTGCTGCATGAACTATATAGCGAACTAGACCGAGCAGTAGTTTAAACCAGTTATAGGAAGATCTAAGTATTATGATAAATTTGTGGCATCATTAGTTAAACACTAGAACTACAGATAATTGTTGATTTTTATTTAAATTTAAAATATCAATACAGAATAAAGATGGCAGGACAGATGACATAAAAATGAATTACTGGTGAAACTCACCAGGTCTGGCAACATTTCATAGAAATTAAATTTAATGCTTTAAGTCTAAGATAACTCTTCTTTGGAGCTAAGAGGGAGGTGCAAAAGTGCTGGATTTTATAAAAAGGGGAGGAGCAAGTGGAAGTGAAGGGGAGGTTAAGGGAAGGTTAATGGGCAAAACAGATTAAAGATCAAAAGTGTCATAGAACAAAAAGCAAAAGGAGTGGCCAGTGGTGGAAGACAGCAGGAGTAGAGGACTGGAAAGAAAAATGGAGAACAGAATTCATGGTCTGTAGATTGTTATGGTACTTTGGTTTTGTTTCTGGGCAGATGTTGCAAGTTTAGTATGAACGTTCTGATTGATACCTCTGATGCACAGCAACAACATCTGCAGTAATTATCTGCAGCTTGGAGCTGATAGGCTGGAACCTGAGGTTAGGACATCATCTCCTAGGCATTTTGTTCCAAAAGGCGCTCTCAACCCTCGGGTTAGGTATTTCAGATTTGTTCCAGATTTGTTAGAGGCAGGAGGGTGGGACTACAAGCAAAGTAGGTGTAAGGATCCAGAATGTAGCAATGAAAGAGCCTCAACCTTTGCAGTTATCTAACACGTTCGGAGCTCTTTCAGATTTTGTGAATGAGAACCAGGACTATAGGGAGAAGGATCAAACTGATTACAGCATTGTGATGAAGAGGACCTTTCAAATCAGGGGTGGGCATGGAGGAATGGGTGCTGGAAGGAATGTAGTTGTAGTAGAGGACAGTTTGGTTTAGGAGTTGACTGCTTTTTTCGACTAGAGAGCATGGGTCCTAAAGGCTGCGTTGCCAGGCTTAAGGGCATCACTTCAGGGATGGAGAGGAACTTGGAGCAGGAAGAGAAGGATCCTTTTGTCATGTTCACCTTGGGTACAGGTGAAAATAAGTAGGGTGTTGAAAGAGATCCTGCTAGAAAATATGAGGAGCTCAAAACTAAATTTATTTAAAATAGGGTAGAACCAGGAAGTTTATTTTGGATTAGTACCTGAGCCACAAGCAAATTGGTGTTGGGTCAATTAGATCATAGAATTCAATGCATGGCTTAAAGATTGGCATTTAAGAATTAGGAAATTGTATAGTGTTAGCAAAATCTCACCCCTTTAATACTCTCTTCTCTTTGAAACAAAGATTGGACATTCTATTTTCCTTCCCTATTATTTGCTGAATTTGTAGCGTTCTACAGTCTTTTTCCATTTAAATAATATTCAGCTCCTTTATTTTTCCTGGCAAGTGTATAACCTCACATTTACCCACATTATATTCTATCTGTCAAATTTTTGCCCATTTGCTTAACTTGTCTGTATCCCTCTGCAAACTCGCATCTTCATTTGCTTTCCCACCTATCTTTTTGTATCGTCCAAAAACTTGACTATAGTACATTCTTCATCCAAGTCAGTACATATTATAAATAATTGTGGCCCCAGTGCTGATCCCAGTGACACTTTGTTAATTACAGGTTGCCATCCTGACAATGCCCTCTTTATCCCAGCTCTGACTTCTATTAGTTAGTCAGTCCTGTATCCATGCTAAAAAAAAGTACCTTCAATTTGTGTGACACTTTATCAAATGCCTTCTGAAGATCCAAATGTATTAAATCCACTGCTTCCTTTTATCTATCCTGCTTGTTACCTCAACAAATTTCTTGTATATTTTGTCAAGCATGATTTCGCCTTCATGAAGCCATGCTGACTCTGCTTGATCATACTTTACATATTTCCAAATGCTCTGCCAGTGGATTCTTTATAACAAACTCAAATATTTTCCTAATGATGGATGTTAAGCTAGCTTTCTCTTTCCCTTTTTAAATAAATCTTGAGCTGAAGTTGAGTCTTAAAATTGAGTATTTTCAAGAGTGAAAATAAATTCCTTTCTCGTGGGCTCCTCTTGATTTGCCGGAGGGCTACTTTTTGATTTTCAGAGGCTCCTTTATCATTCTCACCAACTCCTTTTATTGGTGATGCAATCGTATAGTAACAATGTCTTCTCTTTTGTGTTGTCATATGGGATATTGGGGTTCTTAAAAACGAAGTAAGAGTAATTCTCTAATATCTTCAATCATTACCTGTCTATTAAATTTAAACATCCAACACACAATAACATTAGTTTCCTAGACACTTCGGCATTTAAGCTGACTCGAGATACAACAAGCACA